AGCAACAATTTCATTTGCTAGACTTACCAACAACTTGAAGAGTAAAGGTGTGATTTATTGATCCATAACGATTGGATACTAGACAAGTGTATCTCCCAGAATCAGCGGGTACAAGATCGCGCAGTTTCAGGTACCAAAGGGAGGCATTAACATATGGATCCAACCGTCGGTTTTTTATGTCCTTTCCGTCCTTTAACCATATGTATCTGAGCGGTGGTGCACCAGTTGCTTGACATTTCAGTCGTATGGACTGTGATGCAGGCCATGCCCTGAATGATCTCTTTAACAAGTTTGGATCGCTAAATACTGGTGCTCCTGCTAAAGTGCGAAAACAATCAACAAAAAAATCATTAAGAGCGTACCTACCTACCTACCCACCTACCAATGATAATAACAGAACTAAGTGAAGTCCAATTCAGTATCTGACCATTCGAGTGATTACAAAATCGAACGAACGCCGACGCGAAGCTGGAGTCCGATTTGCTAATCGCGAGGATGATTACAGACCATTGGACGACAGGAAGTCCTGTTACCAATTAATCAAAACTATGGCAAAATTTGAAAAAACAAACTAGCCACTGGTTGTACCATTTTACAAGAAAGAGCAGTTAACTCTTAGAAGTGCATGACAACAGTGCACGCACATGCAGCGCGTTAACTGAACTGCCCTGCTACACTGTCCAATTACAAGCATGACTCCTACTCTGTCCCTTGAGCGCTCAAATAGGGCTTCTGATACCCAAATACGTTGGAGATGATTGTTATAGTTTTGATTAAAGATGTTAATGAAAGGCCACTTTGTCCATATATTTATAATATGGTTCTTAAATTCGGCTTATGCCTCGTTCCTTCCATGTTTACTTGTTGGTATTCATTGTCTCTTTTTCACCAGAGGGATATGCGTTTGGCTCAGTGCAATGACCACGCCTTCTTCCAATGAGCTTTTATGCATTAGTTACCCAAAACAATCATGAAAGATGACAGATACTCACTGGATTCCGTAGTCTTGAGATTCGTCATTAAATCTGAAAATAGAGAGACCGTTGCTAAAGACCAAGAACCTCCAAAATTGTGGTTAGGGGAGAATGACGGTTCTTAATGGGACCTATTCTTGTTAGGATATGCTGGCTTAGATACATGTACGTACTCTGAGCTCAGAGTGCAAAGTATCAACAGCGTCGCAAAGAGCGTACCAGCGTTATTATTTTTGTCTTTATGTTTAAGCAAAAATCTTTACAAGAAAACCATAACCAGCAAATTATTAATAGCCACCAAAGTATTAGGGTTGCTTTCGCAAACGAAAATGAACAAACTCATAAAGTGCTTCTCTGTAGATCTTACCTGCTTGCTTACCTCTAGCCTGATGCTCAGTTGTAGGCCTTTTAGTTGCTGGTGGTGAATCAGTAGCTGTCAGATTTTCATCATGACGCACGTGTAGCTGGAGCGTCAGGTTAACTTTACCTAGAGGATTTTCAGCAATGCAGGTGTAGTTGCCTCGGTCCTCAAGTCGAACTCCTTTGATCTTTATAGTTTTGTCCTTGTTTAGTTTTCTTATCCTTTCCGACTGGTGGAAAGGCTGGTCGTTTTTGATCCATGTGATAGACGGTGGTGGACGCCCCGTCACAGCACATCTTAACCGTTCTGTATCTCCTAATCGGGCGACATACTGTGATTTTTTAGTACCCTGAGCACGTGGTGGATAGTTGTCTATGAAGATTGAATGATTGATAGTCAGAGTGAGTCTGATATTATTAATTATTTGTTATTAGTTGGAGTCAAAAAGCAAATCTAAATCCTATGCGTGTAGTAACAAAAATCGAAACTTGGCTTAGCTTTGCCAGGAGATAATGCCGTGCCTAGGAGACGGATTTTATTCAGTGCAGTCGGTATAATCGCGTTATCGAGGTAAGAAGTATTGCATATTTCCCCTTAGGGCTGGACGCCTTTAAGTATGTGATCCCCTATATGCCACGCGGTATTTTAAATTTGATATTGAGCGGCGCAGACAGTACGGATCCTCAGTGTGAAAAGGTACTAAAGTCACACTGTTCTGTATGAGGATTTCAAAACTACGACCAGAGCCAAATTTAGATTTCTCCAGAAAACTATTTCGTTGGTTTCATGACTAAATGTTTCACTATGTGTCGTGCCAAAAATGTTCCGAGTTTCATTAATTACATTTCGCTTTTTAAAGATGTTATTTCGGTATTCTTAATGGCTAGTGCAATATAGTTGATTTCATTTTGAAGTGTGTTGAACTACCTTTTCAACGTCGCGCGAGGAATAAATCAGGAAATAAACATTAACTCGTTTTATGATGGCGATGGAGAATTAATTTATTAAAAAATTAAACCCTGTTTGTAATATTCTCCACAGATTCAGTTACTCGTAGATCCCGCCGGAAATTCTCATCATTGACTTTCATAAACAACATGCGAGTAATGTTTTGGTCTTCGCTTGCACTTTGAACCAAGTCATTTGTTTTACGTTACCACATATTTGTCTTAGTCTACATCTGCCCATTTCGTTATCGAGATATTCAAAAAACGACCAATTAAAAAGATGCATCAAACACACAGACAGACCCAAAACATGCTTCCTTTTACACATAAAAGACAACTGTCGCAAAAAAGCATGTAATATGATAGGGATTGACACATAACAAAACCTAGAGGAAAGATCAAAGCTTTCTCGCATTCGCAGCTTTTCAATGCATTCGCAGCTTTTCAATGTGAAAAAAAGTAACTCACTATATGAAAGAGCAGAAACATACTCGATTCTAGGTGATATTAATTGCAAGATACTCTAACGAAGTCAGAATATTATCGACGATTTTATTTCAGCGGTGTCCGCAACATTTGCCTTTTAAAACCATTTCTGAAATGTTTTTCAGAGAGAAATGATCTCCCTCTGTTATCTTTTCTTTCTCCTAATATCTCTGCTCACTCAATTACTCGTCAAGTCAAGAGTGTAAACATACATCCCAAAAACATGTTTCCTGTTCATTATTTATTAGTGACCACAATTTCCACTACGTAATCCCAGGGAACAAGCTATTGACTGAGCATCTATTTGACTGTCAATTTGCAGGAAAGAAGGGGAGCTAAAACAAGTAGAAAGTTAAAAAACGTGAGAAACATTTCCTTACTTAGGCTTTTACTGATTTTAAGACTAGTAAGTAAACATTGCTTGGTCGCTTTGATCTGTTATTCCATTGCAAGAGAACTGTTCTACGTGCAGAAAAGATATCCCTTTAGCTCACATTTGTATTAATTGCGCGCGATCGTCGTTTTACTAAAAAATTGAACAGCAATGTGCATCATGACCGTTACTGAAACTGAATAAAAAAAAAACTAGAAACTGAATTACCAGCTATTTTAAAGTCTTAGAAGGGGTCAGTCTTAGTAAGTCAAAGGTTTAGTACCTTGAGGTTCTCAGAAAGAAATTATTGCAGCGCAACCTCTTTTTTTTTTCCATTTACAGTATAAAACCAAATGGTTTGTAGTTTTGATTTAATTCTGTTTTACATTCTCTTTCACTTAACAGTCAAACATTAAATGAAGTGTAAGTTAGCTCTAACGTTTCGGTTGAGGAGAAAAAATTCTCCTCGACATAATTACTTTGTGCAGTTTCTGTGTATTCTTAGATCCTACGATAGAAACTTCTTTGAGTGTGTCTATACATTTCTACATGATCGAACAAAAGAAATTTAACTTTCGAGAGCCACTTTTAAAAGCGAAAGGGTAACAACTTGTCGATTTATCTTGCAAATTGCCGCATTTTCGACGAGGCCGCATCGCCTGGCGAGGATCTACCGAGAACTTTTAAAAAGCTCCTAATTCCCTGGTAGAGGACAAAACTAGTGGAAAGCCCGTTGACAAACGCTAGAGCATAGCGCCCGGTGAGTTTTAGAGATGTTTTAACAACGCATGGCTGCGTCCATTGCGATCGGTGAAATAAAACAAGATTGCTTAGAAGCGATTTACGAGCGTTTTTTTCTCAAATAGAGCGGCGACAGAGTCAAAATCCTTCAAGCCTCTGCTCAAAGGTAGCATTTGTTGAATATTTGTATTAAAATATGATTAATGTAAATTCCTATATCACTTCCATTTGGGATATTGCTGGATATTGGCACCTTGTCGTCGATGAAAACAAGGTGGCCATGAAACGATCACGAACCCGGAATTTTTTTCTCCGAGGCGAACGATTGTTCTTCAAATGCTGTTCATACTGACTCAGGGCCAGCAACTTTCGCTTTAACTGCGAGTAGAGAGGGAATATACTCTTTACTCTTTGAATGATTGATAAAACGCGAGGGCGTTAAGAGCAGCTGGATAGACTAGAAATATCACAAGGCAACAATGCCAAACATAATAGAAATGGTAAACAGCAGCTTGTGATGACCGAGTGTCTTATTTGCTACCTACTTTGCTATGTTTAAGCGTTGAACAAACATTTGCGAATGTACGTGAGGCTATTCAGTAACATTTCATCTGCCCCGTCCAGTAATAACGAGTTTTCCTTGCATGAGTCTAATGAATAGAGCCATTGATCTTGACATATTACTTCAAATTGATTTTCGAAGCGTGACGAGATCTCACACACGACTTTTAATTTAGTCTGACAGAAAAAGCGGAAACCGTTTTCATTTTACAGTAATTCAAACAAAGATCTGTCCGAGTCAACCTTTTTGACTAAACGTTAAACAAGGAAGGCTCGTTTTCACTGAAATGTGAATGTTATAAAACAACGAGGTATTTAGATATCTACTTACCAGATTGAGCAGTCTGCGTATTGATTAGAAGGTCGACCAACAATATCCACCAACAACACCGCTTTGCCTGCATGCTCACATCGACCAAGGCCTTCCTTTACGAATTAGCATACTGTTCAGCGTAGAAATTTGCCGATCGGTCCAACGATTGCAGGATAACTACGGATATAAGGGATTTTGTAGATGAGATGATCTTTAGGTACCCTCCACGTCTCAAGTTGCCTGGTTTATCTTGGGGCTGCGCAGACAATTCATTTGCTTGTTGTCAATTTGAGGGCACAATACTGACGTTGTGCCAAATAGCGAATTATTTCCCTATTTGATGTGACCGTGACAGATGCCCTGCTTCCATGAAGATGTATAAAGGGGCGACAAAGAGAAATTTGGTCCGGAAGAAGTCGATATTCCAGTTCTCTTAGTGATTCAGCGTTAAGCGCAACCAAACAACGACACAAATTCCTTTGCAAGTGAATTTTGATTGGCTTAGTATTTCACTGGTCTCGGTATGTTGGCTTTGGTTGAATTTTGTGTGAAATTTCAATAGTTCAAGTGACAAATGGCCACACCTCTATCAATCATGTCAAAAATACAATAGATGTGAAGTACACGCGCGTTTCCGGTTGAATGAAGTTTTCATACCCTTGGGGCAAATTTATTATTCAGGTCCTAATTACTTCATTTTCATTCTGGAAGCACATTAACACAGTCCTTTGCATATTCACTGAAGTCTGTGCCTTTAAGATCTGTTGAGTGCGTCGAGCAGGAACTTGCATCATTAACTCTTAGAGTTTGTTAAAACCGCGAGGAGATTGTTTAGTGAAGGTACTACCGTAGTGCAGTTAAAAACCTTAAAAATTAGAGAAGGAAATCGTTGCAAGCGACGGAAACACTAATCTTCATCGCTTACTCTTTTCCTTCTTGACAAGCTTTGTGTTATTTGGTTAATAACAAATCTTCCTCCAAAAAATAGTATTTCAACAACATTCCTCAATTCTCCGGGGGATTCTCATTAAATAGCCAATACGTGTGCTACTGTTTGCCTGAAGTAAACAATCAATCCCGTATTTACTTTTACATGAGTACAGCCACTTCATCACAAAGGCTTTAGAAATCGTTGCGCAAACTAGGACAATTATAGTGAGAAAGAAGAGAAGCTGAAGCTGCGAACAGTTTTACGAATGAAAAAACAGCTCACCTGTCGACCTCGCTACCTTGCACAGTTTTGGTGACTCGCGAATTCGGATGTAAATCGTGTGATTCGCAAAATTTTAGGGGGAATTTTAGCCTACTCCCTTTCTTCTCCGTACTTTAGGAAACCAGAGTATTTTTAAATGAGATTACCGAAAAGGTCTCCCTCCATCTGTATAATTGTCATAATGATGGCTTAGGTGCATGTGTCAACGTGTTTTAAATTAACAGTGCCTCGTTTGGAATGTTTATTGACCTGCTTATCTGTTCCAATTCTTCACCCGAATTGTACAGATATCTATTTCATTAGCATTAGCTTCGACTCTTTTCTCGTTACCTCGTGACTGTAAAAAGTTAATCCGTGCCTCCTGATGTCTTGCTACTTTCCTTGGGCAGCTCTTAGGTGAGAGAAAATTGGTCTGGTCTTGTTGGTGTATTTAACTTTGCAAGCAGGAGGGCTGCTGGAAAATTCAATACCTGCAAGCAGACAAAAATAGTTAGAGTAGGATTCCTCAGAAACACGAGATGTGACACCCTTTTCGTGGGCTCTTATCGTACTCATCTTTCAGCAATTCACCCTTGATTTTGTGTTTGTCGATCGAACTGAACCATACCTTGAAATATCTGAAATTTTTTAACTTATTTTTTAGTTTGCACTCCCACGAAATTACAGAAATTTTGTTTATGGTATTATGTACCAAAAAGAGAAGATGTGTCGAGGAGCTGTTATATCGTTTTCACGCTGTGAAATGTACTCTCAACCTTGTTGAGACACTCTCGAGTGTTGCAACAATACCGAGATAGCACTTGTTGTACGATAAATTCAATTGTCACTCGTTCAGGCAGAAATGGTCTTGTCCCGTCTTTATTTATTTATGTTACATTTGTCAAATACTCAGCAAGAATGCCAATATCGAGAAAATTAAAGGCTTGTGGAGGTTCAAACTGACACTCAGGCTCTTCATATCTTATGGAAAGAAAAGCCGGAGGTTTTGTGAACTCTAAATTGAGCTTCTAGGGGTAATTATGTCGGGCAGGTGGCCAGTTCTAATGTTGTTTTACCCTGAATAAACTGAAAAAAATTCCCATTATGGATGTTTATCTTTTTCTACAATATGCATTTTTCTGCACGGAAATCTGGGCTCCATGATGAATTTAAAAGTGCTTGGTTAGGTCAGAAGGGATCATTGGACTATGGTCATATAAGAAATGAGATGACCAAGATCTCGAGTGGTAAATTGAACTGGTGTGAATGAACTAAGAGGAGACTCTTGACGCTTTTTTGCATGCGGTGGTTATCGCGTGTCGACATTACATAAGGAAATTTAACATCTTTTGAAACGGAAATCATACTGTAGTGAACACGTGTCTTACGATTCCTTCGCAAACTCGGAAGCCCACACTCGAACTTTTATATTTTGGATCGAACCGAGTTGAAAAAAATGCATAACATCTCTTGACGCACCCGTCTACAACGATGTCTGATTGGCAGAGATCGGAATGCGGTTTTGGAGACTGGCGTTGATGGATAACGTTTCAAAAATCATAACTGGTCAGTTTGTAATCATCAAGCTGGCGCCAGAGCATAAAGTGAACAGATCACATTTTAGTCATAGGACTTGTTTGCGACAGAAGAGATTGTTTGCATTTCACTATGATTGTTGTAGATACACATTACCAGACCTCGGAAAAAGGAGAAAGAAAACTATACTGACGCAGAAATGTCTCAACTTTTCCAGTTCAGCGCACTTAGTTGATACTAATCATGACAAAGCCGGCATATACTAACAAAATTGTGTGGTGATAATCTGTTTGTGGGTGGAGTTTTGAAAGCTGTTTTCAGAGAAAAGATGTTAATTAGAGCTGTGAAATCCTTTTAGCAGGTGTTCTGACAGTCACACGAAAGTTTATATTGCCTGAGTAGATTATTTCCCTTTGTTTAGGGAGTTTGACCAATTTTTTCTTTTGAATGGTAAAACTCGTTTATGATAGACTGCGAAGAAAGTAAAATACAAAACAGATCACTATTTGAGACCTTTGTAGCTGCTCTGACAACTCTTGATTTTCGTGCAGCATGTAGGCAAATGTCGAGTACGGATAACTATCAGGTCAGGTCTTCGTTAAGAATCTTATCATTCTTGCACGAGAATGAAGACGTTTCTAATACTGGTTGTGTCAACAGATGTCTAGGTTTGTCTGCTTAGATCTTGGTAATTCACTCTTTATATGTCACAGAAAACATTAAAGGAAACTTTCCGACTACCCACGAAAACACTTAGCCGTGATCCTCGCTAGACTATGTAACCTAGAACCACCCTACATCCAAAGAGTTGTTAGTGATGAAGTGTCTTGTTATGTGGCACTGTTTCCATTTCACTACAGCAGCTTTAGATCATATTATTTTTCTTAAGGCGATGTTCCTGGATTAGTTGTAGGATTATTAAGGGGAGCTAATTGTCATCGGTCCAAATCTAGTTCAGAGAATAAACCAAACCGCCCAAGAATTTGAAAAAAAAATTTAATCCTTCTTCATGTTGTCAACTATATGGGTGTAGCTGATACACAACACTTCACATTAAACCGAAGCTGGACTGCTTCCAAACCACACTGAATGATGAAGGTAAAGAATCCTTCGTGTTTTCCCGCAGGGTATGCCGCACCAAATTCTACTGTAAGCCGTTCGGTTGGGTTAGAAATAGTTTTTCCTCACAGTAGAGGGGTTAAGTTACTCTTGTTCGTCTTCTTCCGATGACTAGCATCTCATGCCGGGTTAGAACATGTCTAAAGGTAGACGCATCCTTATCTTTGATATTCAGATTTGTTCCACCGCCCCAGAAGAGACACTTCGTTCCAGTTGTAACAAGGTGTCTTTCAAGTCAAAGAACTTATTTTCAAACTTTTCCTCTTCATGGACCGGTACAAAGACTGTGCGCCTTATGTTCTGAAAAACGGCAAGCGTGTTCGATATCGGTTTTGACCCTCACGCTACTATACACGTTGTCTGATCTTAATCCTATTTTTTTGATTGAGGTTGGAATTAAATACTAAGTTGAAAGCAATGGAATAAATGCTATTTACGAAAAATATCTTGTTCCACAATATTTGATTGTTACAGCTTTTTGTTCAAAGGGCGTGTAAACCAGTTGACTGATGGAAGATGAGGGAAATGTCGAATACTGAAGTAAAATCCAAACTGTTGGTAATTGAAATCGGTAGATGTAATCAATCTACGTTGTTGAAAAATAGATAATTAAATAAGAGAATGGAGACTCATCTGAATGTAGACTTTAAATCTGTTTTCATTTAATCCTAGTCACCTCTCGTTTGAGTGCTAAAATTAAAGCAGGATTGCATTCGATTTGCTTCGCTTCGCTTACTGCTTGGTTCAGAAAACAAGCGCCACATTTGCCAACCAATCAGATTTAAAACTGAGACCAGTTGTGGTTTTTTTCAGTCGTGTTTTGCTGTGTGCGTATATTTCCTTTGAGTTCCAATTGGCTGCATTTAAAATTCGAAAGCTTTTGTTCTGATTGACCGTAATAATGACTTGGGTAGATATCACCAGCCATCTAGAAATGATGGTCTAAGAGGCTTTAAACTCTCTGGCCTCTGTCTTTAAGGTTACCAGGGAATTAATTAGCTCTTATAATTACTTTCAAAATAATTAAATAGAAACGTTTTGCGATTTGTCTAAACATGGTTAAGAATTACTTTAACACTTTTTTTTTACTTCAATTCGTCTATTTTATTTTACATCAATGGAAAACGACTGTTATGATATTATGAGACATTCGTTTTGGATGTAATCTACAACGTGAAAATTGTGCGTTTGATTTTGGTCTAAATGACCTTATATTCGGTTTTTTTCTTCATTTGTTTTGCTTCGTCATTGTTTGGTCTTTTCCGGCCATTTTGCTATATTACGATATTACAGTGAAAACCCTTCACGAATAATTAAGTTTGGAGAGCCAGGGCTTGTCCAGACGAAATATTATGCCACAAAATGAGTATTTTTTTTTCATCCTTCACAGTGGGTTTGAAAACTGTTTTCACCTCTTCAGAGTTTAAGCTAGTCACTCGTCGTTAATATTAATCTGTTACTTTGATCATAAATTGCGTTGTCAAAGCGATGTCAATCTTGCCAGGAAGGTTGATATGCAAATACGTAAGCTAGACGTAAGTTGACACGCAAATTTTCAAGCTAGACGTAAATGTTATTGAGTTGTTAAGTGCAGATACTGAGCATGTTTTCGGATTATAAGCATTTAGGGAACAAATTAAGGTTTCTTTTGTTCTGCTGTACAGTTGCTAAGAGTTCTTATCAAAGTTTGTAACTTGATTAAATTGAAGGCTCAACTGAAAGTTGATTCATTTTAAACTCACCGTCTCAGCAAGAGTTAGCGTTATTGTTATTATTTCTACATTTACACGTACATCTCTCACACGAGGTGAAAACCATAAGCTGTATCTTAACGAGCCGGTCAGACCTTTTCTTAGTAGACCTTCCCTATATCACCACAAATACACAATAATTTGGTTTTACTGGAGTCTCAGTAAATTGAAACGGAACGTGACAGCGTCTGTTGTGTAGCTTATGCAACAGCCCCTACTCGCTCTGTCGATTCTCCTTAAGAGGAATCATTCTGTTATTGAACGGTGGAAGAACCTCAATAATTGCCTGCCAATTCGTAAGTTGCCCGCCCCCGTAGTTCCTCACACCAAGTATCCAAAAAATAAGGTACCTTTGATTTAATTCGGTTTGGATTATTTAAAGTCTGAGACGATAAATCTTCGTCGTCGTTTACTTTTATGGGTGTGTCTGCTTGGTCTGTCATTTTTCAGTTTTCATCGGAGAGTAGGATCGAGGCAGACTCTGTGTAGTTGTTTAAGATGTCTGCCCAGTGCTCTCCTTGAAACCTGCACCAACTAACTTCAAGAAGATCTTTTCTTTATTAAAACAATTTGGGCCGAAGGTTTGTTGGCAATTTGTTTTCTTAAATCCCGAGTGGAAGTCTTTCAGCGGTTGAAAATGAAATGTTCCCTAGTTCACCTCCTCATGGGCTGCTTTATTATTTATTTACTGATTTCACCGCTATAATTTTTATGCCCACTGCTCGCTTCCTCAGCTTTCGATAGAAACCAACCCCTTGGTTACGAATTGAATGCATCATTAATCAGTGTTCATTTTATGAAAATAACTGTCATTTTTTTTGTGACAGTGTTGAATCCTTTCTCACCGTGTTTTGCGGCTTCAGTGGTCAAGGCATGAAAGTAAGTACACGTCCGCGTCATTAAAGGCCACTATTCTAATTCAAGTTTACATAGAATGAAGATTTAATGGTTAAACGGTAACGTTCAAGGAAAATTTAGCTTAGGGACTACTTAAGCACTACATGAATACCGTGATGTAACTTGTGGTGTTGTTAGTATTAATTATTCTTTGCTTCCAGGCAAGTAGTATTTTAAGTATATTTTGCGATATTCTCGCAGTACTTTTCTTATGCTAATACTCCATTTTCGCTTAATGAGAAAAGTAGCCAGCCGACTGAGACAATAAAATTCTTCCTTGCTCTATCAAAAGCTAAGTGAAGACGTTTCCAAAATCATCAATGTTTTTTTTTTTCCTTTTAATCTTTTCTTCGAATAGCCGTTTTATCTCGAAGAGCCATAGCCTCGAAGATCCTGTATTGGGCTTATTATATTTTGCTTTTCCAATCACGGGTCCATGTCACACGAAAAGCTTACAAATATGGTTTCGAAAACAAATAAAATAAATAATTTCAATTGCATAGTCTACACCATTTTTTAAAGTGATGCACTACACTATGTTGTATCACAGGCCATACCTTCAACAGTGTCCAGTTCTAGGAAAACTTTGGAACTTGAAAGATGATTCCACTACTGCACATTACCGTGTGCAGTTTTGAATCCTTACACCGATTTGTTGTTTATTCCTGTTTATGCTAATCCTATTTCTGTGTAATTGTCATTTCTGCTCTAAACTTCGAACAAACAGACTGATAACAAATTAGAACATTTTGCCTTTGAAAGCATACAACTCGGTTTAGCGGTCTGACAGCCACACAAAAGCGTTATTAGAACCTAAGGGCAAATGGCAGGTGTCACATAGGAACAATCTTCGCATTTATCGCCGTAATCGGCAAGAATGGAAATTCATAGTTATTTGCGAGTCTCTATATTAATTTGTCAGCAGTTGTTTTCGATATCACTAACGTAAATGCTCTTATCCGGTCATGAATCTTTAACGATTTCTAGTTGCTTCATTATCTTTCATCAACTTTCGAGTACGATACGAATTCACTGGCGTTTAAAATTTGAAGTTGTAAGGACTTGGCATGCAAGATTAGTTTTTCCTTAGTTATGAACTAAGTGTACGAACAAGGTTTATTAGTGGCCGTCTAGATCTAGAGATAACTTGATATATTTAGTTTTCAAAGCAATTAATTAGAACTGCTCTGCATACCTTATAGCGATGCAAATTGGCAGTGCGTTTGTCCCACGCATTAGCTTTGATCCTAAATTTCCACTTTTCTGTCGAAAGAGTCTTCGGAATAAAATTGTATTTCATATAATTGACAAAGGAATTGTTTCAGAAGACAAGTTGTTCTCAACGCTTGAAGGTGCGAAAGCATCAGAGACTTAAAGACGACAGTTTCATCAATACGCCCTCTCCTACGCTGTAATTTACATGCAGATGACCTCACCGCAAATTGTTTGCCAAAAATCGGCGAGCACGTACTCGAAATACGTACCGTGATAACTCGTAAACAAGTCGATGAACGGTCTGCGGCAGAAAATTAAACATCCTTTCAGTACAGGAAGCGCTGCATTAAACTTGAACCAACGGTTCTCAATTTTTGAGTGGTCGTGAAAACTATATTTTTATCGTCTACATCTAATGTGCATGATAAAATTATAAGGCTGAGAGGCTTGTACATTTGTTAACTGCCGTGATAATTCTCGTTCAGATTAAAGGTTTGAGAAACAACTGGCGAATTCGGGATATCATTGTTCTGGGTGACACTAAAAGTTTGGAGTAAACTTAATTCGTAAGCTCTGAGAATAATAACACCATTTTTGGTTGAAATATTGTGGCAGTGGTTACACACTCACGCCCTTCCATTAGGGCTAACGAATAGCACTGTGATTTATTAAATTGTCTTGAACTGTAAGAGCGAAAACTACGATGCTACATGTCATACGCTCGACTGTTTAAATTAGTATTATTTTTATCTTGTTAGTTATATATTTTATCTTGTTCCGTTTTCTTATGAACTGTACAAGCCCTCGTAAAGTGCTACTTTTGTAGGAAGACGTTGATATGCTCATTTGCACCTTACTGCCGTCTGTTTTGCTGCCATACGTGACCACTCTATCACTCGTTGCCAGATGGCGAGGACAAGAAATTCATTAACCTATTGCGCATCTGTTGTTAAAATCAGGACTGCTTTGATAGCAGTTGACGCCGGTCTAAGTCTCAAAATCTAAAAGAGAAACACCTCAGAATGTTAAACACTGGCCTTGCAATGCTATGTTCACTCACCTTGATCTCCAAAGCAATTCGTTTTTCAGAGTACTGCATACTAGTTGGACCAGTAATGTAACATCGCATTCTCCTTTTAGTTCAAGCTATAAATCATGTAGGTATTCACGGACCAAAATGACTTGGAGTCTATTCTTAAGTGCCTCTTATGCCCTCTTCACATATCAGTCGCCTTTAGAACCCACCCAAGCATTTAGTTAAGGGCTTTCTTCTATTTTTAGTGATTTTCCCATTGCATGGATCTTGGTACATAATACGCAAAACATGTTAGTTTTCTGTGCAAGCTGCAGCGGGATTTATACCGTGACAGGAACCATGAGAGAATGAGGTTAGCTCCCATCTTTAACAAAAACGAACGTGCAACTAAAAGGGAATTAACTGAGATTAAATCCAATCACTCACCTCCAATAGTAAATAGCGAAAAACCAAGTTGTTTACCTTCTATAATTATCAAAATCAAAACTTGGCAAAACATCTAGCTGCTGTGCGCAAGAAATGGCAGATTACCCTGCCACAATGTCTAAACCAATACCAACTGTTTTTCAGTCCATTTTCTATCTTGGTAACAAAATAAACAGAAACACAGATATTTTGCAATTAAAAAAAAAGGTCATTGGAGAATCGTTATACTAGATAGCCAGCCGTTGGCTCGAAAGATCAGCAGAAATCGAGTGTAGAGAATACTCTGCTGCATAATGAAACTATGAAAATGCGTGACTGTTATCTAGTTGTTGATTTGAGTTCTAACCGTTATGAGGAGTGGATAGAACAGCTCTTGCAGATATTGCGAGCTAACATAACAGATAATATAGATGGCAGCTCAAGGTGAAAAATATAACCACAGTATTGCTTTCTGACCTTGACTTATGTAAAAGGCATGATTTGTTTAACAACGGGCGCAGTTGACCATGGTGCAGTGATTCCGTACACTGGAGATTGCAGAGGAATCATGACCTGGTAACCCAATTTCAAAACGTTTTGAAATCGAATAAATGTTAAGATGAGGATATGGGCCAATAGCGCTGTACTATGTACAAGTTTACATGCTTGAGATTCGATTTGCTTTTTTCGACACGATTCATATAATGAACGTTACAGTTACTACAGGGCAATATAGCTATTTCTTAACCATCTCTTAATCTATTTGGGGATAGTTTACTAGTTCGCTGACTCTGTTTTCGTCGAATAGTTCTGGCGGTTCATTTACATTTGGGGGGAAAGACGAACTCGTTGTGTGATTTTCTTGGTTTTCCGGAATAACTAATTACATTCATCCTAAAGCCTTACGTGGAAACCTCTTTTTCGTTGTTTCCAAAAGGAACATGCCACCGCGATTGCAGCAATGACTGCTCAAAACCACTGAGCGAGCGATTAGAGCGAGCGAGGGTTCGCAGTGCGAAGAGTCAGAGTAATTTTCTGGTATCAAGGATTAAAGTTCTCCGAAATTTTGGAACTGTGGATCACAAAGTAAGGATGAAAATTGGGATCATCATGTAACCCACATACCTCGTTACGACCCTGATTATTGGCTTTAGTGCCAATTGTGTAAGAAGACCTTTACCGCTGTTGCTAGAACATCGAACACACCGCATGAATGTTTGACGTGACATTAAGTTGCCAAAAGTGAAACTGCACTTTTATTTTCGTTACTCAGTCTTTGTAAAATGAAATTCACTACGGAAGAGTGACACCATACAATTTTAAAATGACTTCAAGAACACTAGGGTTTCATTTTCAGACTAAGAAGAACCATAACAAGCAGTTTTATAGAAAAAAACTCTGTGACTTTTGTACAACTGCGCACCTTCATTCCGCATTTCAGTCGTCGGCTTTCAGTTGAGAATCTGACAGCAATTCAGATTGTCATTATGTAGCTCTTATGTCAGGTTAATTTTACCGAAAGAATTTTCAACAAAGCAGGAGTAGTTGCCTCAGTCATTGAGTCTGACTCTATTGATCTTTATGGTTTTGTCGCTGTTCAGCTTTCTTAACCTATCTGAGAGTTTTAAAGGATGGTCGTATTTATTTCATGTGATAGACGGTGGTGGAAGCCTCGTCACTGCGCATTGTAACCGTTTTATGTCTCCAACTTCAGCAAGATACTGAGGATTTGGAGTACCTTGAATGCGGGTTGCAAAATTGTCTAAAAAGAGAAATAATCACAATCGGAACTGTCAGTAAGCTCGAGTAAACGCTTCCATAGCGTATAGTTTGTGATGAACTAGAAGGTATGGGGAAATGTTTTTCATGCTGTGAAAATTGTAATAGCAGTTGGAGATAATAAAGCACTCACATGTGGAATGAAAGTTTCTCAGTCACATCCGCTCCTTTCTCAACATCTCTTCGAAAATTTCAACGGCCTGGCAAGGATGACGACAATGACAATAGAAGTAAATTATTTTCACCATCTGGGGATACTTTCCTCTACTACACTAAAAATTTCATTCATGAAATCAGTATTTCTTAACTCCAATCTGCTAATTTCAAACCTCAAAGTGTGATAAAACATGTCTGTTTGTATCCATAAGTTTACATTTTCCATCCAACAAAGTTAAAATTTCACATAAGACCGATTGTGGGTAGATGGGGTCTAGGTCCAAAATAAGTGATCGTGTTTACTTTTCTAGAAATAATGAATTTATTGACATTCTTAGTTTGAAGACTTTGGAAGAGTTCTGCTTCACTAAACATGCAGTAGATGTACGAAAAGGACTTTTATACTTCCTAATTCCTCTTCGCATTAGTTTCAATCACCATCCTCTCGTTTCTGAATACGAGACTCTTCAATTTTCCCTGCTTTATAAAGATTTTAAACGTTAAAATGTTACTCATTTGATACGAAACTTAAATGATCCTGGGAAGCCTTAGCGAATGTAAGAGGGCGATGTCTCATTTGAAACCGCAAGAAATTGGAATTAAAACAGAGAGTGAATTAATTCAGCTTAAGTAAAAAATGTCATATATCTACTAATACACCACCAACGTTGAAGTAAGTGACTGGATAGACAAAGAAAGCTTATTACAAAACCTGTTCCTGTGGCTGATCGTTGGGAATTGTTAAACAATCAACCAGTTTTCTTTCCCAGTGATGCTTTTCAAATTTCTTCGCATAGTCTATATAGCTCCTTTTTCGCAGCTCCTTAGGAATTTTTTCTCTGTTAACTTCATCAAGTTTGATGACGACTACACTATCATCTCTCCTTTCCATAAGTCGATGGAGGGCATATTCCATTTCTGAACAACAATAATTGCTCTTAAAAAAATTCTTAGACACGACAGCTATAGTTTTTCTAGACTTGTAAACGCTATTGACCATATTTTCACGATAAGGTACTCCAAGAACGAAATCTCTGTAGTGTACACAGCATTTAAAATGGTGTATTTCCTCAAGAGTTGGAATTAGAGTTTTAGTCACCCAATCCGAGTCTTGAGAGCTGAAAATAACGAACGCATCGTATTCAAATTTAGTTTCTGAAAGAAGAAAATAAGGGTGTGATATTAGCTAAGATTTTTATACATAAAAAAAAATCATTTCAGTAAAATTTTGAATCAAACCCATTGAAAACAATTATAATAACATAAGGGGGAGCTGTTTAGCTGGTTAGCTTTTAATGACAAGAAAGGACGTTCTCTAGTTAATTTTTTTTTTCCTAAAAACTGCAAGCTGTCGGCTTTCACTCCAATGCCTATACAAACTAAGATGTTAAAACAAAACAAAACAAAAAAAATTCATCAAACCTCCTAAAAAACAGCTGCCGACCTCTACATTTTAAGTTGGACTTACCTGACAGTGAAACTGAAGGTTTTAAGGGCTTCTTGATACGGTTCGATCGACGGCGCCAACAGATAATGGTTAAAACAGCCACAGTAATTAGCACGCATGCTAAGACGATCCCAGGGACAAGAGCATTTCGAGTCTTCTTATCTGGTGAACGACATACGTTACAAGTTTATTATATCGTATCGTCAAAGATGTTACTGACAATAGAAGTCAGGATGGACGTGATTAAATATAAAAGATAAAACGGAGTGCACAGTTTTGATGATATAAGTTGGTGTTTTCTTGGTAGAAGTGGGAGAGATTGGTGCACTTCGGATTCCTCACCCCTAGTCATTCGCATTATGCGCCTACTTCCCATATTTAGCTTCGCTGCATTGGAATACAAGGTTTCATTCATATGAGACCTGCCTCTATTTAGCTCAAAAGATGCTTAAGCTTCCACAAGGAATAAATGATACTTTTGATAGCTGCTGATCACCGCGAAAAAGCCCGGCTCTTTACGGAATTCTCTGCTGAATGTGTTAGTCCAACTTTCGAGAATAAGGGCTATATGCACAAAAATAGTAACATTTTAATATGAGAGATTAAGAGCGTTGGTCTGCATGGAAGTTTAGCGATTTACTCAAAATCGGAGCGTGATCTACACATTTCGTAGAAGATCGTTGTCCCTACGCTAGGGGTGCATACGAGAAATTTTGTGGGCCGTGCTTCAATGACCAAGTAAGAACGTTTCTGAGAAGTACGTTTAAATAACTTTGCATACTGCTTTACTTAAAGGACAATCACTCCGTTAGGTGCTCATATGAGAAAATTTGCAGCGCTGTGTTTTTAACAGATACTGACCTGTCCCAGGGACCATGGGTTTCACATATTTGATGAGGTATGCACTCCTGAAATCCTTGCCCATAGGATTCCTCACATAGCATATGTAGAGTCCAAAATCATCCTCGGTCACATTAACAATATTCACCATAAGACTATAATTACTTTTAACTTGAACGGCCTTGTAATAGTGTGGGTCTATACGTCGAAATGAATCAAATGAATCAAATGAATTTAAAATGTCTTCGTAAGTAGGCATAGAAGTCCATTTAAGCCATATGAAATCCATATGAATTCCATTGGTATGAACATTACAGGTAAATGTTGCATTATCTCCAACCTGCACAGTTTTGTTCATTGGAAAACCTCTCATTAGGATTGGAGCTGAGTGTGGTCTAGCTGTTGAGAAAAAAGAAGTTGATTTTGAGGCGAGGATAATGACTTGAAGTTATGAATAAATTACCACATGATGTACAAATCAGAACCCAAAAGACAAATTTTCAAACGCTGACAAATTTGCGACATCTGGAAAATTACGCCTTAAAATTCGTTGTCTCCCAAATTGCTCGGGAAACTTGTTGATATCACAGTGGATGGCGTACTGTCTCTATTGTCTGCCAATATCGATATTGCCATTTGTTATCGTGCAGTACGTCTTAAGGCTTTCTTTCGATATTTTTTTTTCTCTCTGAACTGTAACTGTCACTTTTCTCTACTGAAAAAAAAAACAGTTTTTCCCCTAGGAATGTGACCCTCTTGAAATGTTTGGAATTAACACACTCTTTCAGTGGAAAAAAATACACAACTTATTCCGATCTTTTTGTTAAAATGAAACAAATCAAAAGACAAAGCAAAACAACAAAAGTAAAACATTCCCAAATCATTGATCGAGTTGGTTTTTACAACGTCATAAAGGTTAAATTTTAAATCAGCAACAATTTCATTTGCTAGACTTACCAACAACTTGAAGAGTAAAGGTGTGATTTATTGATCCATAACGATTGGATACTAGACAAGTGTATCTCCCAGAATCAGCGGGTACAAGATCGCGCAGTTTCAGGTACCAAAGGGAGGCATTAACATATGGATCCAACCGTCGGTTTTTTATGTCCTTTCCGTCCTTTAACCATATGTATCTGAGCGGTGGTGCACCAGTTGCTTGACATTTCAGTCGTATGGACTGTGATGCAGGCCATGCCCTGAATGATCTCTTTAACAAGTTTGGATCGCTAAATACTGGTGCTCCTGCTAAAGTGCGAAAACAATCAACAAAAAAATCATTAAGAGCGTACCTACCTACCTACCCACCTACCAATGATAATAACAGAACTAAGTGAAGTCCAATTCAGTATCTGACCATTCGAGTGATTACAAAATCGAACGAACGCCGACGCGAAGCTGGAGTCCGATTTGCTAATCGCGAGGATGATTACAGACCATTGGACGACAGGAAGTCCTGTTACCAATTAATCAAAACTATGGCAAAATTTGAAAAAACAAACTAGCCACTGGTTGTACCATTTTACAAGAAAGAGCAGTTAACTCTTAGAAGTGCATGACAACAGTGCACGCACATGCAGCGCGTTAACTGAACTGCCCTGCTACACTGTCCAATTACAAGCATGACTCCTACTCTGTCCCTTGAGCGCTCAAATAGGGCTTCTGATACCCAAATACGTTGGAGATGATTGTTATAGTTTTGATTAAAGATGTTAATGAAAGGCCACTTTGTCCATATATTTATAATATGGTTCTTAAATTCGGCTTATGCCTCGTTCCTTCCATGTTTACTTGTTGGTATTCATTGTCTCTTTTTCACCAGAGGGATATGCGTTTGGCTCAGTGCAATGACCACGCCTTCTTCCAATGAGCTTTTATGCATTAGTTACCCAAAACAATCATGAAAGATGACAGATACTCACTGGATTCCGTAGTCTTGAGATTCGTCATTAAATCTGAAAATAGAGAGACCGTTGCTAAAGACCAAGAACCTCCAAAATTGTGGTTAGGGGAGAATGACGGTTCTTAATGGGACCTATTCTTGTTAGGATATGCTGGCTTAGATACATGTACGTACTCTGAGCTCAGAGTGCAAAGTATCAACAGCGTCGCAAAGAGCGTACCAGCGTTATTATTTTTGTCTTTATGTTTAAGCAAAAATCTTTACAAGAAAACCATAACCAGCAAATTATTAATAGCCACCAAAGTATTAGGGTTGCTTTCGCAAACGAAAATGAACAAACTCATAAAGTGCTTCTCTGTAGATCTTACCTGCTTGCTTACCTCTAGCCTGATGCTCAGTTGTAGGCCTTTTAGTTGCTGATGGTGAATCAGTAGCTGTCAGATTTTCATCGTGACGCACGTGTAGCTGGAGCGTCAGGTTGACTTTCCCTAGAGGATTTTCAGCAATGCAGGTGTAGTTACCTCGGTCCTCAAGTCGAACTCCTTTGATCTTTATAGTTTTGTCCTCGTTTAGTTTTTTTATCCTCTCAGATTGGTGCAAGGGCTGGTCGTTTTTGATCCATGTGATAGACGGTGGTGGAAGCCCCGTCACAGCACATCTTAACCGTTTTGTATCTCCTAATCGGGCGACATACTGTGGTTTTGGAGTACCTTGAATACGTGGGGGGGGATGATCTAAAAGATTGAATAATTAATATTCAAAGTCAGTCATATCATTAATTTTTTGTTCTTAGTTTTAGAGTGGAAAAGCAAAGCAAAACCCCGTGGGTGTAGTGACAAAATTTGAAACTTGGCCTAGCTTTGCTGAGAGATAATGCCTTGCCTAAGAGACGGATTTTATATAGTACAGTCGATATAACCGCATTATCAAAGTTAGAAGTATTGCCTATTTCCCCTTAGGGCTTGACGCTTTTAAGTATGTGATCCCTTATATACCATGCGGTATTTATAACTTTGATATTAAGTGGCAAAGACAGTACAGATCCTCAAGGTGAAAAGTTACTAAGGTCACACTGTTCTCCGTGAGGATGTCAAAATTACGACCAGAGCAAAATTCAGATTTCTCCAGAAAACTACCTTGTTGGTTTTATGGCTCAACGTTTCACTGTTTCGGGCCAAACTATGTTATTTTGGTATTCTAAATAGATAGTACAATATAGTTTATATCATTTTGAAGTGTGTTGAGCTTCCTTTTTAACGTCGCGCGAGGTGTAAATGAGGAAATAGATATTAACTCGTTTTATGATAGCTATGGAGAATAAATTTTTATGTCATCGTCTTTTAAAGGAAACGCGCGATTATACTTTTGGTCTTGGCGTGTACTTTGTACGAAGTCATTCGTTTTTAGTTATTGCTGTTGACTAGTATCTATTTGACTATCGATTAGCAGGAAACAAGGGGAGCTAAAACAGTTAGACAGTTAAAGAACACGAAAAACATCTCCTTACGTAGGTTTTCACTGATTCTAGGACTAGCGAATAAACACTGCTTGCTTGCTTTGATCTGTTACTCCATTACAGGAGAACTGTTCTACACGCTGAAAAGATATCCCTGTAGCTGACACTTTAATTTATTGCATGCGATCGTCCGTTTACTAAGAAATTGAACAGCGTGCATCGTGGCCGTTTAACTGAAACTGAAAAGAAAAAAAAATACTGGAAGCTGAATTACTAGCTCTTTTTTAAACCGTACGAGGGGTTAGTTCCAGTTAGTCAAAGGTTTAGTATCTTGAGCTTCTCAGACCTAAGACTTGTAACTATAGGCAAACGAAACCAAACTTTTTTCTGATCAAAGACCAAAGTTTTCTACTCTCTGTTACTTGAACAGGCATCACCAAGTGGTGACGGAGATCCAAGAGAGAATATCAAAGTGAATTGGTCGTGTACATGAAAGGGAGAGGGAGAATGCAGGAGTAGTTAGTTGGTGGCGATGGAATGCCAGCCCTAAGGAAAGACGAAATTGAATGACGACGAAAGAGCACACGCCCAGAGAAGGAAAACAGGAAAGAAGAGCTGGACCGGATCCAGAAGGAAAGCAATGGAAAGGAATTTAAGAACTGGGTAAGCCGGTCATTTTACTTGTACCTTGAAGCGAGTTGTGTTTGAAAATGTTTAAATTAGATAAGAATGCCTCTAGGGTAACAGTTTAGCGATTCATAAATGCTGTAGGATGTTCTTGGGCCTTTATTACATACTTCTGACAATCGCGAAAACTATATCGTTCGCGCCGACTGGTCAGTAACAAAAGTTAATGAATAAAAGTCCAACACAGAATTCAGAACAACGAAACAAGAAGGAAGTAGGAGTTTTAACGCCTACTTCCTTAGCTTAAAAGCTAATTTGTGGTTTTTACGTGACTTCATCAAAATTAAAAGATAAGGAATTACCAATTTTTTTGAGATTTTTAATTTAGTTTTCAAATTTTCAGTTTGATAGGGTTTTTCGTCTCGTAATGTTCCTAAGATTTTGCGTGATACAATATTAAGATGGAGGCCGAGAATGCTGTCACATAGGTTTAAAAAAGTGACTTATTCGCTGAGATTTCGCAATCTGAACAGTCCTTATAAGAGAATTAGTCCTTACAAGAGAATTAGTACTCATATAGATGTTTGTGAGCCCTCAGAAGACAACTACAGGCTTTCTATAGCAAAGGTTTAGAACATTACCACCAGCATGATGTCTTCATCTCAAACATTTATAAAGAAAAGACCTGTCGCTGTCAGGGTATCTGCACTAATTATTGTAATCGGTGCAGTCTTGTGGTATAGACGCCATGTAAGTTCCCATTGTGCTAAAGTTTCTTCTTAACAAACAAAACTGCGGCTTTGTAACTGATCCGAAGCAGAATCATAAGGGAAATGTTTTCTGGTTTAGAAACTACTCCGCAGAAGCTCGTTCCGACATTTACTGACGCTTGTACGCATCACAATATTTTCGTTACACATATTTTCATATTTCCCCTAAAAGCTCTCCGCGTGATACATACCTGAATATGCTGTGGAAGGAATCAAAACCACACAGAAAAGGAACACTAAGACAATTGAAACTTTGTCGTCCATGTTTGGCTTGATTCTAGATTTTGGTAAAGCCAAGTATTTTTGGTGAAGTAAAGTGTTTTTGGTAAAGCCATATCTGTTTTGACGTCTTAAGGTCCTTTTGTCTGGTGTTGTGCCAATATCCAAGTGGCAATGACCAATTTTCGAGTTTGTAAAAGGTCGATAACGATATTACAGGCCAAACTTAAAGACATGAAAATATGTAGGAGAAATGTGCTTTTGATCTAAAGTAAATTGTCATTTCTCGTGTCTTTTTTTCGTACTTATGTCTTCTCCGTCGGAGTTGTCATATTCGTATTCTGTTGTAAAATTCAAATGAGAAGATTTAAGTAACAGTGCCATCAATTGCTTGATGGTTTTAGTGTGTGCCTTGAGGCTAACTAGCCACACGGCCTTAGTTTATCCAAGTTTCCTACCGAAGAAGCAACTTGGTGAACTGCTACTCCCACGGTCAGGAGGAGTGGTGATAGACCTTTGCTGGTCTTTGTTTTTTCTTTTACTTCTTCCACGGTACTATAAGGGCATCGAATAATCTAATGACAAGGAATGACTGGGCTTCCGCCTTGTTGAAAATTTTGACGGCACTTTTGACGCACTGGTGGACCTTCACTGACTACCGTGGGCTGGCCTGCTATTTAACTTACGACGACAACAAGAGCACAGTGGGGCATTTCTGGAACAAAGCGTTGCACTTTTAACAAGTTTCACGCAGCGAAATCTTATCTGGCTTACTTTTATATCGATAGCGTACCCCTCAATCTCGTTAACTTTCCCACAGTCTATGAGCTCTTGTAACTCTTGGTTTTAAAGTCTTGCATTCTTCTCATTTCTCTTCCTGCTACGTCTCTCAACGTTGTAACTTTTCTTAGCGTTCTTGGACGTCATGGCAATGTCTTTAATGTCCATAAGTGAGCTAGGAATCATTCGTTCTCGAATAATCCCTTTTCTAATTGTCTGTATGTGAAGATCCATTATTCTGCCATTTGATACAACTCATTCCTACAAGCACAAGTAATTAAACATGGCACTCAGTCGCGGAATCAGACAGCAAATCAAAAACCCACTGGGCCCTCATACAACTAAATAATTTGAAAATATCAACAAAGTTGAAATGGTAAATTGGCCACCGTTACGATTATAAAAGTTGACGTTTCGAGCGTTAGCCCTTCGTCGGAGCGAATAGGGGAATTGTGGGTTGTGTGTGCTTTTAAAGGCAGAAAAAGGAGCTACGTGATTGGTGGGAACAAGGCAACGAGAAAAACATACAACTATTTGTGCTCTTTGATGAATAAGGGACGAATCGAAAGGAAAATAACTGAGGAATAGGGCAATTTTTCTACGTGTCCCACAAAAATGGACAACAGCCTTAAAATTGACGGCAAAGAGTACAGACATACCTGAGGCAAAGTTTCATCTTTGGGCCATCTCTTCCAGTCGTCAAGCAAATACACACAATCAACCACTAAAGGCCGCCATTTTATCCACTCGCGAAGTTCGTCTTTCTCTTTAGGTAATGGCGTGGAACTATCGGTAGAATAAAAAAAAATTTGATCAACAAAGATGATGTCCTCCCAAATCTCACTGTCACCATGTGGCGACTTCATAGGGATATCAAATTGATAACTGAGCCGGACTGTAAGCCTATCGGTTAGTATGTTTGCTAATCTGTTCGCGAAAATCATATCTAATCGGAGAGGTCTCGTTTTGAAATTCCTTTCATTCTTACGAGTGTGTTTCTTGTTAATGTTTATCTTTCTCTTTACAAGATCCTTCTGAATTCGGAAAACTACGTAATTAGTTAAGCTTTAGGACGTGGCCGTTATTTACCATCGACCTTGCGGGACAACCAAGTGGAATTTTGTAATTTATCAGTTAGTTTTCGACACAGCTGAATCGTATCCTGTAATCTATCAAAAGGAGAGGCTAGTCAAACCTGTATTTAATGGTCACCAACGGTGAATACGGGTTGACTGCTTGATACTGCAGGTTCCACAGAATTAGGTGTCAGACAAGCTAAACAACGCCTTTTTGTCTTAACATGTTCCTAACAAAACAGATAACCCGCAATGCTTTGAAGAAATTTGAACTTATGGTGCTGACATCGATTTCGGGAGATATACATAGAATAATTTGACTTAAGAGGTTATTCTTAGTTTTATTTGAGTGGTTTCGCTCTGGGTGAGCGTTCAATACAAGTAGAGGATAATACAAATGGTCCGTTGCGACTCAGTAGACTTAATAGAGGTGACCGTTCAATAGATGTAAAAATTACAGTACTTAAGTGAAACAATTTCGGGACCCCTTAATACAGGGTTATCACTTAATACAGATACATATGTATTTGTTTAGAAACTTACCCCCTTCATTTTTAATTATTGTCGGCAAAGGGACTGACCAAATCTTCAGAATAACATGATAGTTCATTTTTCTTATTTAGGTGCTAAATCATGAGTTGTGATCTCGATCAATTCGTTGAGTTGAGACTTTTATTCTATTCTCTTCTTTCACACCAACAATAACTGAGCTTCAAACATTTGTTGAGAAATGCAACCCTTGTGTGGGTCTGGAACGCGCAATGGTTTTTTGGAAAGGTATTTGAAGAGGTCCTTTGGGTTCTGAGTTGATAGATTCGTCCCAGTTAAGTCTGCGAGTGTATGACTAATAAAAGTAAATGGATTTATATGTTTTATATGGTGATCTTTACCCTCGATAAGGTATTCACCTGAGTTATAGTGTATTGTTGGATAATCATTGGTTTATTTTTTCAAAATGTTATAGGAGATCATTAATTTTTTCTCGCTTGGCTGTTATGTTTGTGGTATTAAACGCTTTCCCGTAGACCCACCCGCCGCATTTCTAGAGCACGACTCAGATTTCGCACAATGGGGCTACGTGGATAACTGTTTTTATCACAGAGGAAAGTTAGAGTTATCCAAAGGACGCGCTAACGGAGATGCAAAATAAAATATTTGCCTGCAAATAGGATTTTTATGTTTTTTTCGCTCTGGTCTTGTTGCTTGTTGCAGTCACTTGGTATTGCTTGACACAGTATAGGGGTGGAGGTGGAGATCATTACATCACAACCCCTCTAGGCGATATGCTTGCTTGGTGACCTTGCTATCGACCGTGGTCGCACATTAACACAAATATTAAATTCCATTAATAACATTAAATTGGCGCTGTATATTTAACCAGGCCTCCACTTCACTAAAGAGACAAAGAGATCCAATTTCCTTGTGCTTTCCGGTACCTGTCGCAAAGTTGTGCAACCCAGTTTTTTGGAATACCATGACCTTTTCCCCTCATGCTCCTTTATGTACTGAGCTACGACTCTTTTTCAAAAGTTTTCTGCATTTTACAGGGTCACTTCAAAAGTTCCGCTCTGTTCAAAGGTTGTCTTATTTCTGCAAAGAAACATCGAATGGTTGAACGAGTGCAACGCAAAGGAACAACTGATTACATCCCATGTATAAAATAATAACTGCAGATAAAATCTTGTAATACTGTCGTCCAATGTATGGTACGTTGGAGACAAATCGTTTACCACAGTTTAGGAAGGTTAAACAAACCCGTGCCATACAGACTTGAAATATTAGAGCAACACCAACTTAGTGCATGGTAAACTTGAACAGGATGTGGGCTTAACTAAGGGGTAAGCGTTGTTAACAGGACAAAAGTCCATAAATGCGAATCACAAGGACACTCGAAACTGTGATAAATGTGATCCTAAGAAAATTGAGGAACAGACTTAAAAAACCTTATCGTATTGAAAATTTGACTTCACAATACATGTACCTTCCAATAAGAATATAAAAAATTAACTGAACTCATCGACCAATCAGCCTTCTGCTGTATCACGCATTTTCCTAATGTCACTCTAAATGATTTAGCGACAGTCGACTCTTCAGTAGCCGCGATCAGTTTTCAGTTACATGACTTTCTCACTGACATGGAGCACATTAAGTGAAGTGGCCATGGTCTAACGCTCCAGAAATCCCATTATGTTCGGTAGAATCCACTCCACAAGTTTTCGCTTTGTCACGCATAAACACTTCCTAATGAAATCGTAATTGCTTACCTGAACCTGCTGTCGAATTGCAAAAAAGTTAACGAAAAAAGTGTCGCTGAGGCAGTCGAAATTGTGGTGTCTATTTTTGGCTTGAGGCGGGCATGAGGTGAAACTGCATGGGGGGCGACATTCGCACGCCCCATGAACTTGTAGGTTGTTTGGCCGTCGTGTGATCTGTGTTAGGCGAGGTGCCAACATGCAGAGTCATTGAAACCCGTATAGGCATGTTATCATTCAGTCAAGAGTCAGTTAACTCCTCCATTACGGAAAATTGATTTGTTTGTTTTGTGATTCGTTATTTTCCATTTTAAGGTAGTCCTTTATCATTCTCCGGAGAGTTCTCATATCAAATTTTTGAAGTGACACTTAAGGGAGGTGTGGTAAAACGTGTCTTAATCAGTCCGTTATGGATTGTATTGCTATGATTATGCTAAAGATAGTGTGATGAGATTGTCTAGGGAGGAAATCCCCCTTTTTTTCCCTTCACGATCTATTTTCTCAGAGACTTCACTAGCGAGTCAGATCGACGTGGATGACCACTCACCTCAGTTCACATCATGAATACTTTCATATCTTTTCAGTCGCCATGTAACGCCAGTCGTACATATGTTCAGCCAAAGTACATAGTCGGTTACGTTGTGAACTTTGATCTGTAGCGTGACGATTATGTGAAAATTTGCATTTTATAACTTTCCCGTTCAGTTTTATCGTCCAGGTAAAGAAGGCTGGCTTACTTACATTACGTAACAGATGATTTTGTCATTATAATACTGTAAGTTTGGTTGAGAAAGCATAACTAGCCTTTTGTAAGATGTCATTGGCCAGTTTTTATCCTTGGTCGATGTTATGTCGTGCTGTACTGTTCCTCGTGAATAATGGGCGGTTTTTAACTTGCGGTTAAATGTTTACATCTGCGTGCAGAGGGACTGAGTTTACTCCACCAGTTACTTAGGAGCAGTATCAGTTGTGTTGAGTGGTATTATTTGAGCTTACCCTCAAGACGGGTTTGATTTTCGAGTTTTAATTAAGGTGTGTAAACGTTACAATTCACATGTCGATTTACATCTGGACTGTACAATGTATTAAATAGACTGAAATGAAGAAAATGGAAAAGAAATAATCACTACCTAAACTACAAATAACTATCAACCTTGGTTGATTGTACAATATTTAAAGAAACTTATAAGATGAACGATAAAATGTGCATACATCCGCGAAATAAAATGTAAAAGGGTTTGAAATACCACACTATGACTCTTTGCGTTTTTCCAATCGTTATCCTTGTTTTGTTATCAGGACGGAGTGGTTGTCAGATCGCTAAAGTTCTTTGCTTAGCACCTTGTCCGATTCAGCGTTGACTTTAAAAAAGAAATTCAGTTAATGAATCAATGGCTTTCCCGTTTTCTCGTGTGGCTAATAAAATGAGCCGGAAAACTCCCGCTCTTATCTATGCATACATCCTTTTCCCAGCCACCAATTCTCATTTTCATTAAAACCTCGATATGTATCTCCGTGACTTTGAAGCCATCCACAGGATATAAGATTAAATGTAAAGTGATAATATTGATTAAAAACAGCAACAAAAAACAACAAAAACAACAACATCAACAATATCAAGAACAGTAAAAAGGGCAATGTCTACGACTAGACGTTTTCATAAACGTAACCGACAAGTCAGAGGTGCGAGTGCAAATAATGACCCGTAGTCAGTCCTGCATTAGTTCTCTTGGTAACATCAGAGTGGTAATTTCCTTCCTCGTTCATGAAAGCTCTATCCCTGTTTTTTCCGCCATTATTTTCTTGTGGTACAAGTGACACCAAAGGAGTGCAGTTGTTGTAATGACTGCCCAGGTGCTTAAGACACCTATGAACACACTTAAAGGTATCTTTGCCTCCCTTGCTCGAGATATCGCCTGTTTTGCTGGGGGAATCCGTACCGTTGCGTTGGTTCCTAACGACAGAATTATTTTCTCTGAAACATTTATCTTGTAAAAGTGCTCTTTCTTGTTTTGTGTTAGTGTGGAAGACATCACAGCACTCTATAACTAACTGGTGTTGTGAAACTGCATTGTTAATTGTATTAGGAATTGAGCAAGTTTGTGATGTTGCACTGAGATGAAGCTGATCCGAAAACAGCGAACACCATTTTTTCCGACATTGTGCTGATATACAATCGTGATTCGAGGTTCTACGTCTCCAACATTTTTTCAAACTATCGGTCGGCCTTCGGGTTTGTTTTTCTTGCGCTCAGAACTCTTTGAATATTTTGAATGTCACAAGCGGGCATAGTCCTCAGTGAAATTTTCTCAAGACTCAATGAAATTTTCTCAAGAAAGTAATCAAGCACCAAGAAAATGAAAAACAGAAGAAAGAAGGAAGGAAGCCACTGACATACCCCCAAATGGCGTAGATTCCGTGTTCTTGTGATTTGCGAGGTCCTTCGTCTTCGGCCGCTTTGTCATGACTGACAATGCATCTGAGTCAATAATAAGAGTAAAACTTTTAGTAAGTGTATCACAAAATACATCCTAATTTTCTGACAGTTTTACGATAATGGTTTTGAAAAAACGTCTCTGTACAACATCAGTGAAAGGCCTTTCATCCTGGTAAAGGCAAGGATCGCATTGAAATTATGTTCAGCTGTAGCTTTTGTTTACCAAAGCGTACTCCTGTTGAGTGGTGTTGTATTCTCAAAGTCAACATATTAGCTCAAAATAACAAAAAAGACAGCCTTTGAACGCTAAATTCTTATTGTGTCTGAGCTTATCCCGGTTTCTGCTGCATGAAGCGACAAGGTGTATTGTTACTTTCCCATGGACAGGACGTCTGTCGATCGGTTTACCCCTCAGCTCTTCGTCAGTTTTTCTTGAAAGTTTAGCAGAATTATGTTATACTCCTGGTTGGAGAAAGGCGCCGTGAAAGAAAAGCGTCTTCCCCGACAATACAAAACAGATTCACAAGAGAATGGCTCAGCCAGGGTTCAAATCTGAACCTTTTCATCTGGAGTACAGTGCACTTATCATTACACGGCCACTGTGTCTTAAACTTAAATGTCGTGGATGCATGTTTGCGACCCTACGATATGATGAAACGGCAACAAGATGCATTCTAGGGTTGAATGCATCTTTTGTGACTTGAAAGGTTAAGGTTGAAATACAACTCGACACTGATCATTTATGGTGCACGATATGAGTAACTTTAATTGCTTGTGAGGTCGTTTTTGTCACAAAGGGAAGTTTGTGAATAATTTTCTATAATAATTGTATAAAATATTATAGAAAGCTAAGTCTTTTTAAACAATTTTCAAGTTTTAGTGAAGATGACGTTAAAGCCAAGAGTATTTAGGTTTCAACATGAATTAGCTGCATCATTGTTTGGTCGTAGCTACACATAATCCTAATGAATTATCCCGTGGAAATCAGTGGTAAGTGCCCTCCTGACGAGCTAATTGATTAAACAAACATCAAAAGTGATATCTTGAGTTATTGCAAATGAATTTTCCTTCCGTATGCGATGTTCATCTTTGCCAAATCTCAAAAGCTAACTGCAGGCGGATGTTCGAAAATCTCATCAACTACCCAGCCTGCTGAGTTTCTCGAGCACATCTCAGCGGAGTCTGCCATTTTCGCCCTATTTATACAAAGGATGACGGCGGGAACCTTATTGATTTTAGGATGGGTTGTCCAGACTATCGTGCAGGGAAAAAGGAAATCGGTTTTTAGCGTAAATAGATTAAGAAAGGCAAAATTTTTGGTTTGGTCGGGGAACAAAGATGACATTTAGAAGCGAGGAATGTAGCATTAAGTTTTGTTTTACCGCTTTACGAAGTCATGATGTTCTTTTTTTTTTAGTCCACGTAAATTTTAAAAAGCTTTTAGCACTGGTGATGATATTGTTGTTATGTAGAATGTGTGGGAAGCACACAACAGAAATAGTTCAAGTACTTCTATTAAACCCTAGGTCATCTCCTTGCAGTGAATAGCGCTCGTATACTACCTCACGATCATATTTTCGTAAGGCGACCAAAGTAATATGTTCAGAAAGTAGAAAAATCTTAAAATTGTTTATGATGCAACAACGTGACTAGCTATGGATTCCTTTTAATTGAGTAATGTTAGACACGTTGTCCAGAGTTTTAGACCAAAAGGGAGATCAGAACATGTTTTGTTGATTTTCCAAATTAAGGGAAATTTCTAGTTGACAATATTGTCTTATCGTAAATATGATTAACTCGGTGAGCAACTTTTTTAACATAACAGGAAACGGATGTATTATCCTTTGAAACTGAGCCGTCTGTTTCCGGCAAAAGAACCTCATTATTCAGGGTCTCAGGCCTCATTAAGAGCCTCATTATTTAGGGCCTCAGGCCCCTGTTACTACTACATTAATTCAATGATTTGTAACCATAATCAATTAAACAATGTACACTGAGCATTAATTTGAGCAATAACAAAGACAAAAGTCCTTTTTATTAAACACCGTATATGTAAAGTGCAACGTCACTAACCCTAACTCATTGCAAAGAGCGACGAAAAACAACTCGATAGGACAGTGGTTTCGAGTTGGCTAATAGTAAACGATTCCAAAATACCGTCAAATGGCTTTGAATTCAAATAACCAGCTTGTTCAAGTTAACCTGGTGTGATTTTGCGATGCTCTACTGTCTCTTCATATCCTATAAGGTAACTGAATGATTTCATATCTACCATTACGACATCACGTTGCAGAGTAAGTGTCGTTCCTAGCTTACCTTCAGATTCTCTTCTCCTCCCCTTTTTCTCGCTTAAAAATGCACTCATGTAATCGAAACCAAGGTGATTGCTAACGTAACACGTATACAGGCCCAAATCGTTAGGTGTGACATTCCCAATGTTCACTTCAACGCCGTACTTTCCTCCAACGTGAACCGTCTGATATTGCCGAGGGTTGACAAGGGTATAGGATCCGTTCTCAAAGTCAAGCGAGTTGGGGAAAGTGCTGGGAATATTGTTCCACTTAAGCCATCTAAAATCTGGTAGTGTTCCACTGATAAGAACGATGCAAGTCATTGAAGCGTTCTGCCCAAGCTGGACGCTGGTGTTTTTAGGAAAGCCGCACTTCAGAATAGGCTTGGTGCGAGATTTTTCTGTAAAATGAATGGAGGCTTAATAATGAAAATATGGAAGTTATCTCCATTGCAGTATTAGCTTAGCTCCAGATTTCTGTGCAACAGGAGTAGAAGCTTAATCATGTAACAATGGAGGTGATCGATCTATATTTCCTCGTGTAATATATCACTGCAACTAGAATAGAAGCTTTAAAATGAAAGTTACTAAACGATGGAAGTTATCTACATTTTAGTGTAGGCTTAGATCATTATGCAACAAGAATACAAACATAGGTATTTAAAGTTGAAAATTATCTACAATTTACAATGGGCTTTATCCGGGATTTTTATGAAATAGGAAGGCAAACTTGATAATTCAACGATGGAAGATATCTACATTTCACAACAAGCTTACTTCAAGTTTTTTCTGCAAAAGGAATACAAGCATTATAATCAAATCGATGAGAGTTATCAAAATTACAGAAAAGGGTCAGTTCGAGATTTTTCTGCAAGAGGAATGTAACCTCTTGATGGCGGAATGCGTCGCGTGGAAAAGCGTTCAGTGCTTTTAAAATCACGTTATGGCTTCTCAGAATAAAGGAAAATTCTAATACCCAAGCTTGAAACGAAAACAAGCTATCAATGTAAGATTGTTTTGCGACGTACTGTTCCGACTTGGGTTTTGAGGCAGCCATGGTCGTAATCCTCGCTTCAGCTCTGTATTCAGCGTTTTCAAGCACATTACCTTTGCTTTCACACATCCTCATAGGAGCTATAAGGTGTCTTTTTTTGTCAACACATGGTTTAAGGTAACACGTACCCTAAGAATATATGCCTCCATTCATTTTGCCACTGCTCAAGTCCCAAAATTTACATTCGACATTTCCTTGCCAAAAACTACTAATTGCAGTGATTGCACATTCGCTCATAATTTAGTCAGGATACGAAATTGCCTATGCAATTGTCAATGATATTCTACTTCTTACCTACAACTCGTAGGGTATAAGTGTGATTTATGGAGCCATACGTGTTGGAAACTATACAAGTATATTTCCCAGAGTCTAAGGGCAACAAGTCTTTAAGCTTCAGGTACCACATGTTCGTTTTGAGTCTCGGTTGCAATCTTCGATGTATGGAAGGATCACCATCCTTTAACCACTGGAATCTTAACGGACTTGAGCCACTGGCCTTGCATTTGAGTCGGACGCTGTGGCGTGCGGGCCATGCAATGAAAGTCTGTTGCATCCTGATGGAGTCCACAAATCTTGGAGACGCTGTGCATGAAAGAAGCAAAATAAATCAAGTCGGTGAAGACCTAAGAAGCAACTAGGTGTAGTTCATCGCTGCGGAGTGTTTCCATAAAAGAATAAAACAGGGTACAAGGCGCGTCACCTTCATCATCATCGTTTATTTGTTTCATATCATTTATTTCCACTCTAGAAATGATATGTTTACAAATTTAACAGTATGGTAGAGGACTGCCTCCTAGAAAGCACCAGGCTTATAGGGGAGGCCACTTAAATAGTCAATACGTTTGCAATTAGGTTGTGGATGTGCCATATCAGACTAAATTCATGAAAAACACAATCATCTTGTTTTTAAAATACAGAACAGCCAGTAGAACAAGTGATCTGTATTGGGTAAGAACTGTAAATTTTAGGACCTGGGTAGAGTATTGCAAATTGCTCAAGATTAGTACGTCAGTGATGTGGTCGATAACAATTTGCTATTCTTGTGTTTGTTAGAACTATGAATTTGACTACTTGTAAGAAACGAAGTGGTACTTGCTTTGTAACTTTCAAACTTCTGAGTTTGATTCAATACATGTAAGCACATTTTGTCGGAGGCGAAGATAGGTAAATAGTACTAAATTCAAAAAATTTTTTTGTTTGAAGTGTGGTGTGAAACCAAATGATGGCAGAAGCATATTCGCATACACAAATCACAAACAATGTCACAAGGCCAAAGTCGATACCGTTATCTTTTTAAGTTTTAAAATTTTACAGCGAGTTTTTTTTTTCTTTCTTAACCCAAGCTAACCATAGTCAATGGCAATTGCCAGTAATTGCATCTTTTGTGAATTCAGGCGACTTTGTTTTTTTCATGAATGTTACAAAGACGCGAAACACTGAATTCTTGCATTTACTGAAATTGTTTTCAATGACAGAAACCGACATTACGAAATTGTTTTCAGCAATGTTGAAAGGGCCCGCTAAGAAATTTTTTTTCCGGAGGGAACCAGAAGCTTACATTACCTTCCATAACTTTTTATTTGGAGTTTGTCTTCGTAGAATGATGACAACAAAATCTCCTAACTAAGTATACTAATTGCCATAAAAAGGAGATTTATCCAATTCTTTTTTTTTTTCCGTAGTGGTGTACTTTAAGATTAAGTTGACCAACTGTAGCAGAGCCTAGTTTCCTTACCCGATGAAGATGACGATGTTGGTTGTCCATTGTGAATCAAGCCATTGCCTCCTAAAGAAGAATAAGAAAAACGTGCATTGTGATTATTGTGACAGAGAGCTGGGAGAAGAGGGCTTGTTAGTCTGGTCGAACACTGCTTGCTTCAAAATAGGTCACTTGTAAATTTGTAAACTTTGCACGAAGATCCCAGGACCTCTTGTGAAACATTTTCATGTCAGAACGAGTCGCATAGGGACAAGCAGTCGGTAGATTATTGACATCTTCGTGTCACAGTAGTTTTTGCGTTGGTACTCCAAACCTGTAGACGAAGTCTGGTTAACCCATTGCCTCTGGCCGTGCAAATTTGTCTTAGATTTGATCGTAGAAGATGACCAACTTTGAATGAAACCGCGAACAAACTGATAGTTTCCTTTGGAATTTTTACTTGACGAAAACGATGACGGTGCATTATCACTTAATTGAAAGGTCGCCTTCTGAAGAGTAAGGAAAGAAAATCACAATTTAAGATTTATCTCGTGGAGGTGATTTAATACTGGTCAATCGGCCCTTATCAGTCCATTCTAATAACTCTTTTAGAGTCCGTGTAACTACAGCCTCATTCGAATTGAAGACTGCCTTTATTTAAACGATTGAGGTTAACTCACCCATCAGTAGGACAGGAAAAAAAACAATAATCATTCGCCCGATGCGACGCAAACTTCTAGAATTTCCCAGGCCGGGATGAAAGGTTACAACCCGGGCGGATGTACAACTGTCAATTCGTGAATTTGCCGATATCAAAAATTTTTTGATGCAATAACACCCTTTTTTATGCTCTGTTTTTTGTCTAAGTCTTTCAATCTAGGATGACAGAATGCGCACTTTCCATGTTGTCATTTGACCTTATAGTAAAAGGGCGTTAAAGTATGGATGACGGAAAGAAATAGGGAGTATGCGTTCTTGTTGTAATTGGGCGTTGATTGCATAGTACAAAGGAACTATTGAAAAGGAACTGGGAATTGCTGAATAATGTGTCTGTGTTTTTGTTTTGATTTCAAGCTCTCTTGTGTCCTGTCAGATAAATGCATGGCCGAATCATACATCAGTTGCTCCAAGGTTATTCACGCAAAAATATGATTACGATCATGTTATAGATAACCTTGCCGAATGAAACACTTTTTATCTAAGTTTTCTAAACTGCAAAGTTTGATTTGTGTTGAGTCGGAGTCATTGTATGACACGTGCTAAGCTAATTCTGAGTGTCTTAGACAAAAATAAGTGATATTCAACGATCATGGTCTAAGGAACGTTTACAGATGTTCCCGATGAGGATTGTTTATAAGTCACACTGGAGACTGGAATCTCTCTCAACTGCATTTGATTTTAATTCCAAGAGAAAGAAAAAATCAAGAACAATGCATCTTTTCACGCGGTAGGTTATTTCGAGAGACTAATTGGATGCAAGTGTTTCAAGTCTAAAGAAGGCAAGATAAGGACACAGTTTATCAGTGATAATGCAACATCTTGACGCTCGAAATTTAGATCTTGACGCCTTTTAAACGACGTGCAATTAAAATACAGTCTAGAAAGAGGCAGATCGCAGTTGTAGAAATGATTTAGAGCCCATGTATGTTGTTATGAGGATTTAATGTTTCGTGCATCGGGTGTCGAGGGAAAACAACAGACGGTCGCTATCTTTTTTGGATGGTTAATTATTTCCGCTTTATCTCTAAACAACCCTGAATTACTGGTTTGGAATGTTACCACGGTTTCTTCAGAGGGTTGTTACAGGAAAAAATGAGATGTTTTTATACATCGTAAAGAAAGAGAAAATATGAAAATTATCAAACCTTACTTAAATCATATCGTCCTTCAGAACCTTCTGCTCCTTTTGCAGGCCCTTTTAATTGCACGTTGGCGAGTCGCGTGCCAACAGATTTTTAAATCCGCCATGATTAATTTGATGTCATAGACTCGTGAAATTGGAAATGATACCCTTCTTTACAGGTTATTGACATGAGAAAGAACACGAGAATCCTTGACCTGTGAGATGGATATTCGCTCGTTGAAAGCCTCCGAGCGGGATGGTTGCTACGAACAGATCTTTCAGAGGGCGTTGCTGTTAATCATGTTGATCGAACCGTCATTTTTTTAGTCGAAGACAGACCTCATGGCATTAGATAGATAATGTTGACAGCAAAAGTAAAACTACCCGGGCTAAGTATCCTTTACGGAAATTGCGCGGCAAAAGACCTTTACAAATTGAGATAGGGGAAAGCACTCCACTTTGCATAACAATGTGGATTGTTTCCCAGCCAGCCACTTGCATGACTAGGCTGTGATCCTGCGCTCGAAGCTGTTTTACCTTTTTATTAAGAAAAATTTCAAGTTCCTTTTCATATGTTCTCCTACTGATTATGATGAAACATTGTTTTTGACGTCATAGTTTTTGACGTCATTGTTGTTCTTCTAGATTATTCTTTCATTCCGCAAGCAATAAATGGATTAATTTTTGTTGCTGTTGAACGCCAGAAAACGATATGAAAAGCACATTGTGTTTTATAGTATACTCTGTATGAGAAACCCATGTGGTGTATTCAAGATGCTTTTTTTTTAAGGCGATAATGGTCTTTGTTGGCCCTTGGAAGGCCTCGAAACCCAGTCAATTGTTTTTGACCTGCCTGCTGATTTGTTGGAAATGTGGAATGTTTTTTTTACTAAATGATGAAAATATTTTGACTGTAAAAGAACAGCATGATCCCATCGAAAAAACTATAAACAGAACGTGCGATGGAAGCCATATTGTTGGTGTATGCACCATTGGTACCGATCCATCTCCCACGCCACCCGAACAGAGCAGACACAAACACTTCGTACAATTGCCAAAGAAGAGTGTGCACACCTGCAGTTCTATCCACAGAACATTTATTTGTTCGTTTACGACGCATTAAAAGTAATAGAAGTTTTTCACCCTTTGGCAGTTGAATTGCTGTCACCTCCCTGGCGCAGTAAGGACGAAGATTAGGGACATCCGCGTCACACTGAGAACCATTGCCCGAGGGAGGGTTTCTAAATATTATTACTTGTTTGCTACTGTGATGCCTTATCAAATAAACTTACTTCATTGGAAGTAATTCAAATTATTTCTTTTCTTCATACCTGCTTCATCCGTTGCAATTTGCGTTGCGAATGTCCATGCGGCGAAAACAACTCTCCAAACAGCTCTTTTCCTCATTTTCAACTTCTCACCCTGATTACAAATTAGCGGCGTATCTTTATCCCAGCGTTCTGTAAGGCGTTTGTGTTTTAAGGGTGTTGTGCAGCTTGTTTGTATTAGAGTTGGCGCGCTTCAGCCAGAAGTACGACCAGATATCGTGCGGTCTGGCGCCAGATGGCGGAACCTTAATGTTTTATCAGGAAGGAAGTTATCTTTGTTACAAGCTCAGTCCTTGGTGCTGAGATGGTTTAGATCTCTCAACTTACTTGCATTTGACAAGGCTTTCCTATTTTGGACGCTTAAACAGCTTACATGAACGGTTGTGGGACACCACAGATGACTCCTCGGATGCGCCCGTCTTACGAATTGGCGTGATCTGAACAACCTGCAGGTTAAATACCATCGGTCATTTATACAAACCAAGGCTTCAAGGGATCGACCACTTGTAGTCGTAAACAACAAAGTCATGCTCCTATTTTCGCCGTCTGCTTACCGTCTTGGCTAATTTCAAAAGTCTGTTATCTTGACCAAAATGAGTTCATTCTGACGTAAAGATGATATCAGTCACAGTGCATGACCAAGAAATCGGCTTTTAGTTTTACACCTGATTTTCTTGAAGAACGTTGAAAGTATTTTTGTAATGGATCGCGTATTTGGGAACCTGCTGGGCTAGTGGATCACTGTCTTTAGCTCGGTTTGTAGGCGTTTTAAGCCTTCAAAACTATCAGTTCAAGTAAACGGCTGGTTTTGATATCTGCTGATATCACAGCGTTCTGTTCCGATTCAGGCCGCCTCAGTGAACTTAAGCTTGTCGTGGACGCGATTGATAAAGGCAACAGTGCAATCAGATCACCTTAACTATCGACGGGGAGAGATTACTTTGTCGTAATGAAAGCAGGAGGGTACACTCAAGTGGACAAGCTCTCTAATTGAGTGTAATTGTCAACGAGAAACGGAAGAAATTCAGTGTACTGAATAGAACATGGCGCCTGACTTATGTTACACTCTGGTCTTTCTTATCAAACTACTGAATTGAATAAATCAGAAATAGGAAACGCTATGACTTGTCTTAAATATTTCTATTTATTCTCATATGTTGTGAGCAGGAGTCTTACGTGTGTGATAGTAGGGCAAAGTGTGATACTCAGTTCGAGTGTTAGCAATGACTAAAATTTCGATGCTTGGACAGTGTGTAAAGTTTACACGAATGAAATGTAGTCTTAATTTTCGCCAATTTTACCCCCATACAATTTTTAATTCTGTGTTTCCTTTGAGTCTCTACAGACTTTAACCTTTAATTATATCTTTCTTTTTAACCCTTACGGTTAGTCTGTGTAAAACGCAAGTGGAGCTTTATACCTCCTTGGTTTTTATTTTCAGTGTTTATGTTGTTGTTGTTGTTCTTGACTGAGTTGACGTGGGATCTTATTTATGTGACAATGTTGATTTGAAGTTGGAATGAAACGGGTTAGATATCAAATTTCACGTACTTTTTACTGAGATGGTTTCAGAAAGCAAAGCGATTTTCTTTGCAATTGATGGCACTCAACTGTGCGATTCTATTTATTGACCAGTCTGAGGCTGTTTTAGGATAACAGAATATTACTTTCATTTTCTGTGGAAATTTTTTACTCCTAACAAACGGTGTAATAGTTACTTTTACAGATTGGTAGTTCTAGATTTACTCTGGCCTCCATTTTGGTTTCTTTACAAAATCGCACTGGAGACACCGATCTCCCCTGAAGCGTTCGTGAGGATCTGAGAGGAGAGCAAAACTTGAGCCTTAAGATCAGACAGTTGGTATATTTTTAGCTCTTGTAAATCTAAAACGGCTGGAGCACTTAGAAGTGAAAAGTGGAATCAAAGCTGAAAACTGACTCATTGTCTTTGCGAAATATGAACTTGATTTATAAGTATTTAAAAGGAAATTACTTCAAAAGAGATTTAATCTTCCTCGATCCTCATAATCTTCCTTTCGGGATGTGATCTCGGATGTGATTTAAAACAAGCTAAGGGCTTCCTCGTGCTGTCCATATGATTGGGCACATTACGCACTGAATCTAAACCCACTATTAGATAGTTAAATTTCTTAAAGAAAAGTTGTCTGTTCCTCCTTTCTTTCTTTCTTTCTTTCTTTCTCCCCTTCTCCCTTTCTCTCTCTCTTTCTTTCCTTCTTTCTTCCTTTCTTTCTTTCTTTCTATCTCCCTTTTTTTCTTTCTTTCTTTCTTTCTTTCTTTCTTTCTTTCTTTCTTTCTTTCTTTCTTTCTTTCTTTCTTTCTTTCTTTCTTTCTTTCTTTTCTGCGTATTCAGGCGAGCAAAAGTATAACCGCAGGCGTGATGGTTACGCCAGTCGCCCTTCGCGTTCGTCTAGCGTTCGCCTCCGCTCATCTGAAAAACTCCGACATCATTTCGTCTGTTACACAAGCTACCCTTTTATATGCTACGAAATTGTAGCCTACAATAAATTGCCATACGGGCCGAAACAGGAAAAGGAGGATAGTATTACAACAAGTTTTTCGACATCATTCCGGCCAAGAGAACATGATACGCTTGAACATTATCCAAAACCAAGCACGAGTCAAGGTGAAAATAAATCGCCTTTTTGTTCATTCTACAATTATTCGAATATATGACCAAATTTTGTTTTTGTTTCCCTGAAATCCAGGATAAGATTTCAGGAAGTCCACAAAAACAATCGAATTTAAATGTAAACATTAAAATTCTTTTAATGGATTGCAGGCCTACGCTGTTCAATGATCAGAAGGATTTCCTGCTCAAATCGACACAAAATTACAAGGTAAACACTTCTTAAGCTAATTAAAAAACCACAGTTTACGCTTAGCTAAGCTGCTTTGGAGCTGGTTTACTTGGCTTTATTCGGAAAGTCAACACAATCAACGAAAGCTCCAGAAAGCTTAATCCTTTGATAGAGAAAATCAACTTCTTTCAAGTCTTGGATGCTGAAGTTAATTTACGTTAGATAGAAATTCCGCTTTTTAATTACTTGATAGGAAACGGCTGCTTTAAGAAACAACATGGAAGCGGTACGGTAGGCGTTTGAAGTTTTCTGCAAGAAATAACTTCTTGTTATTGTTTTTGTACATGTAAACCTCCACATATTTCAAGAATTATACTGCCAGACAAGATGACGCATGTTATACTTTTTTACTCGTAAATTTATATCCCACAGATTCCAAACATATCCAAAAACATCCATTATGTGTTCTGTGCACATGATTATTCACAATTACTTTTAAAGTCAAATTCCATTACCTGAATCTCTATTTTTGATAAAGAGGATTCATAGATGAACCTCTTATGATTCTTAAGTTAAATGGGCCAAGGAACTCTTAATCATTGTACCTTCTTTTTCAGCTTATCATCTCGTGTAATTTAATTTCGTGATCTCAAACTCTCCAACAAGGACTCCCGCTGAAACGGCACAAGAGAAATTGCTATTACATTCATCTAAGCTTTTTATTGATTGAAGTAGCAGAATCCGGCCGGTTGACGATGAGAATTCGCAGACTTCGCTGGGTTTGTTGCTTCAGTTGATAAATCACATTTGTCAAGTTTGATAGAATCCCAAGAGAAAGATTTCTCCAATATTGTTTACTTATAAAGATAGTAAAGCCTTAGTATTTGAGTTCCTATTCTATCTCGATGGCTGATGGAAACTTAATAATAATATACGCAGCCCAAACTCAGCTTTTGTCCGGCTCGGTAGCGTATGAGTACCTCAAGTGACAAAAAGAAGGAGTTAAAATGGACTCGGGTCAAGTTGGGTTGAAAAAAGCGGCGCTTCCTACAGTAACCGTTTCCGTCGTTTCTTCATTGGCTAAGAGTGGGCCCTCCTGCATAACTAATCAAATTACGCATTGGCCAAAAGTCAGTGAAACCCCCTCGAAACCACGAGGACTAAGTCTTCGCTGAAGTGGGAATTGTGCGGCTTTGAAAGAATGTTACGGCAATTGTTTTCTCAATTAAGCAACCACAAAATATGTTACCTTTATGAATCATTCCGGTCGAGATTTTTAGTATTTTGTATTATCTTCGAATCTTGAAACACACGTCGTGGTATCATTTACCATTTATGTTACGTAAAGGTGTAA